GCGCTGGGTGTCGCGATGATATAATATTGATATTATGACAAATTATGTAACAGTATGCTTTTCTGATATTGTATATTTCATGATGTTTTTTTTTATAGAATGTCAGCGTTTTGGCACAAATTGAATTGCAAACTGACTGCAAAGGTGATTTGATGTAATTTCATACTTAATATTTAAAATAGTAAAATGTTATCAAATGTTGTAAACATTATGTAAATCATCAGGGTTGAAACAAATATGAAAGACTACTCTATTGCTGAGACTCTGTGTAGCGTAGAAATGCCTTCTACAATAGTGATATGATATATTTTTCTCATATTGTCCACCCCCAATCCGGTTTATCTGAATCCAGGAACATGAAAGCTAAGCCCCAGTGGTGGCCAAACACACATACACACACACACACACACACACACACACGTTGAGTGATGAATGTTCAGCATCGCAGCTGGACGTAGCACAGCGGTACGTTCGGACAGTAAACAGCTGCCAAGTTGAACCAGAGGACACTTAACACACTCATTAGACTGTAGGACCCATTAGACTGTGTGTATACACACACATACATACATATTCATGCACACACTGCAGTATCGGCATGGGGGCAGGCTCAGCCGTGCTGAACCGAGCTACATCCACCGCATGCCGTGTGCAATCTGCTCCCAAAACAACACACACACACAGACACACACACGCACACACACACACACACATACAGAAACAACAAGAATGCAGTGACATGCAAGGCAGATTATGTAATTTAAGCGAGGTAGTGGGTGGTCATTATGAGCCCAATAAATCCCACAATGCTACATCCTGCCACCCTGATTTTATGAGATTTCAGTACTTAACCAATCATGTTCAGTTCACTACATTGGGAGTCTCAATGTCCCAGGCCATTTTATGATTCATATCAACCTATCCCAGGTATCCTAACTTCATATCCTTTGGGAGCCTTCAGAGGTGGAAGTACAGGTATGATAAGAGAAATGTGACAGGAAATCACATGATTTAAATTAACATAGGTACTGTCAAATAAATTTAGATACTTTCAAATACAATTTGATTGTTATTTTACATACATACAACACAAATTGTGTCCAGATTTCTTATCCAACCTGAAATTTTATTCTAGGGCCCCTAAAGTAAACAAATAAAGTTCTCATTTATTAGTTATGTAAAGGTAATGAGACTAGGCTTGTCACGGAACTAAAATGTCAGTAGTTGGTACCAATGCCAGGAAAATTCCATGGTACTCCGTACCAATTTCGGTACCAAAGCAAAACACAAAACATGCTAACTGAACAACACACTATTTTATTAATAAGTTAAATATCAATATAAAATGTATTTTTAAAAATGCCATTCTGTATACTTCAAGTATTTGATTATTAAAGCTACTAGAGTTCTCCAGACAAGAGGAGAAATGTTTTTCTGACTGATATTTAAGACAAACAGTGCTAGGCACACATCTATTCTTTTCTAACACATAAATTTCAGATATATCGCTCATCAAAAAGCCTCTGGTGGGTAAAATTAGTACACCCCACCATGTCCTCCCATTTATCTTACCCCAATAAAAGTTAAAGCATTAAATAGTTAATAAGGACTCCTGACCATATTAGCGTTAAACGCACATATGTAAACAATAAGTAAACAAAAACGAGGATGTTTCCTTGCAATAATACAATGGAATTAATCTATGCTACAACATTCATAATGCAACCACTTCCATTATTTTAAACTCACCTGCTTGAACTGTGTGAATAAATACAGTGGATAAGCAGACGCTCTTCCTGAAAGTACAGTTAATCTATCCGCACTGAAATTTTACATGTGCGGCTTTTATACACTTGGCGATAACAGCACCAAAAGCGGAAATTTGTGCATTTTGCCTACTATATAGAAGCTAAGTTTGTGGTTTCAGTCGCAGCCATGGTAACTGGCAGAGCTGCTACTGCTTTGGCTCCAATGTCTTATTGTTGCACGGTGTACCCATGTAAAGTTCCCGACTGACCACCTGTCAGGCAGCGCGTCAGTACCGTATTTGACTGGTATTACCGGTACTTATGAAAAGCTGGTACCGTCTTGGAATTGAAGTACCCATACTTTTGACAACCCTAAACTAGAGCTTGTTAGGAAATGTCAAAAAAATTTTACCAACATATGTAGTGAAGCAGTAAAGGTCGGTGAAAAGTAAATACAACATGCATTCATGCTTATACAAATAAAAGCGTTTGTTAAATTAATAAATGGAAATGAAAATAAGGTATGTTGGTCAAATTTTTCCCTTTTTTCCCTTTTATATTTCTCAATAATCTCTCATAACATTCACATAACTAATTTACAAATGGACGAAAGAGGCCTATTGAAACTTGTGAAAAACAAGTCATTTTGGTTTAGCATTCCCGATTACGTTCTCTTTTTACTACCCCACATGACCGCATCAAACACCACATTTTTCTATTCATTCCTCATTCATTATCTATCATTACAGGTGCATTTAAAATAATTAGAATATCGTGGACAAGTTAATTGTTTTCCATAATTGAATTAAAAAATGTGGAACTTTAATATATTTTAGATTCATTACACAAAGTGAAATGTTTCAAGCCTTTTTTGTTTTAATCTTGATTACGGCTTACAGCTCATGGAAATCAAAAATCCAGTATCTCAGAATATTAGAATAAAGAATTTATAATACTTAAATATTACTAAAAAACAGAACAAATACTTGAGATTTGACTTGGACTCCACATCAGGAACTTAAGACTTGACTTGGACTCCACATCAGGAACTTGAGACTTGACTTGGACTTCTGAGACTTGACTTGGACTCCACATCAGGAACTTGAGACTTGACTTGGACTCCACATCAGGAACTTGAGACTTGACTTGGACTTCTGAGACTTGACTTGGACCTCAGGGACTTGAGACTTGACTTGGACTTGAGACTTGGCTTGGTCTCCACATCAGGAACTTGAGACTTGACTTGGACTTCAGAGACTTGACTTGGACTTGGACCTCAGGGAGCTGAGATTTGACTTGGACTTCACAGACTTGAGACTTAGCTTGGACTTAGACCTCAGGGACTTGAGACTTGACTTGGACCTCAGGGACATGAGACTTGACTTGGACCTCAGATACTTGAGACTTGACTTGGAGTTGGACCTCACAGACTTGAGACTTGGCTTGGACTCCACATCAGGAACTTGTGACTTGACTTGGCCCTCAGGGACTTGTGAACATGTCTGGCAGTAAATAAAGAAATGTTATAAGAACTCTACGTCAGATTTAGAGAAACATTTTGCGTCACTGCACTAGCTTGCTAACTAGGTTAAATAAGTTTGTTTTGACAATAAGTGTGTGTTGATGAATGGAGGTTGTATCCACTGCATAGGTAACAAACTGTATTAACAATGCACTTTTGGCAGTTTTATTACTGTTAGCCAACAGTCAGTAGTTTGGTGATAACCAAGCTTATTTATTTAATTAAGTCTAAAATTAATTAAAAAAATTCCTCTAATGGAAATCCTATGTTAATATTGATTACACAGGTAGATGTTGACCTTCTATGGCATTATTGCCAGTTGCACCTCCTCCGGTGCCCATAGGATTACCGCTCTTCACCTTTCCACCATGCACCCAAAACCCTACACACCATGCAACCAAAACCCTACACACCTCCACAGTGACTAACACTGGCACCGTTAATAAGGCTAAAAATGTGACAAGAAAGAAAAATCCATAGCCATGGTAATGTAAGATAACCAAAGAAACCATCCACACAATTTGTAAAATTGGGAAGGGTCCTGGTCCTTGAGTACCTCCGGTCCTGCACATTAGTAGTGTTTTCCTTGCTCCTGAAACACCTGATTCAACTAATCAGTTAATTAGCGGCCCTTCCTGAATTGAAGTGTGTTAGAGAGAGAAAATACTAACGTACAAGATAAGGGGTTGTCCAGGACCAGGGTTGGGAACCTATGCTTTAGATCAATCAATAATAGTATAAACTTTGTTATAGATTTTTTATTTTATGACTTCTACATATTTTTTTTTAATGTAGAAACATTTAATTTCTTTCTTTTTGAAGGCATCTTTGCTCTGCAACATTTCTTTGCATGCTCCTAAGACTTTTGCGCAGTACTGTATTTACTTGTTAAATCTATTACATTGACTATAAAGTTAGAGGTAAATGCATATCACTCATATCAGTAACGTTAGCTGGCTGGATTGTTGCCTCTTCTTTTCTTTTTTTTTCTTTTTTTTAAATCTATTTATCTTTTTTTACTTACTTTTTATTTATTTATTTATTTATTTATTTATTTATTTTTACATTTTTACATTTTGTAGCTGAGTCCCAGTTCTGTCTATCCGTTTCTGAGTCAAACACAATAATAACATAAGCCTAGTTAGGTTAAAAATAACACAGTTTGTCACAGTCATGGCTGAGTTATATCCTAAAGTAGCTTGTAGAATAAACTAACAATGTACAGCGAGTGAAATAGTATTTTTGTAGTAAAATGATGAACTAAAATAATTTTTTTAAAAAAGAGATCATTTAAACGATGCTCTTTAAAACACACACACACACACACACACACACACACACACACACACACACACACACACACACACACAAGCATAGCCTGCCCGTTGACATTACTATGCTAATAGTAACTAATAGTGCCCATAGACATTGAGGACTTTAAAAGCAGATGTTTTTACTTTCACTTACTAGAGTTTGATTAATATGCACCAAAAAAGTCCCCATATCATTTTAATTGTTTCTATTTTTGCTCAAATAGCTTAATTTTAGACCATGACCAAGTCATTTTGTAGTTTCAGATTTATTAAGACCACAGGATTGGCCTTAATTACTGAACATAATTGCATAACTAAAACAAAGAATTTAAACATTAAACAATTGTAGGGAAAAAACACAAGTAATATCACAAGGCGGGGAAAAAAAATAGTGAGACTGTAATGATTAGTAATAGCGCTTAGTTATTATTCAGTCGGTAGAGCATGAGACTCTTAATCTCAGGGTTGTGGGTTCGAGCCCAACGTTGGGCGAGTGCTGTTTCTTTTGGCAGCGCACTCTCTCTCTCTCTCTCTCTCTCTCAGTCTTTGACTGAAACTGCATATAGTATAGGATCTTCCTCTGACAGAGACAGAATTAACCAATTTTCTGTATGACTGTTTTTACTTTCTGTCTCTGTGAAACATACTACACTTCGAGCGGGCCTCCTACAAACATTAATAGTGTGCATTATGAGACTTAAGCTGAATCCGGTGTTTATTATTCCAAAACTAGCGCACGGCCGCCTACACTCAAGCACCCGAATAACTGACAACGAGTTTAAGTGTTGATTAATTCAGAAAGGACATTACTTCAGGTGTCAAAAAGGCTGCCTTTATTTCTGCTTTGAATTTCAAATGAGGAGAGAATTCCTGCAGTACGCTAAAGTTAACTGTGAATGGCTGTGAATGGTGAATGCCTAATATTTCATATAAATATAGGATCAGTGTCATACAAATATTTTTAATACTTTACACTACATTTCTGCTGAGATATCACTACGGCTGTACCACAGTGTTCAGGCACAGAGACATACGACCGTGGTACAACCTGTGTTAATGTGGATTTGAAGGTCGTTCTATAGGCAGGGTGGGCTGTGGGGTGTTGCTGCACTGGGGTATGACTGATAGCTCTAGCCTCACTCAAGGCTGCTGAACAGGGCCGAGCCATTAGGAAGTGTGTTTAAGACTTCACACTCTATTACCAGTAATATAGGGGCCATAGTGCTCAGTGCTTTTACTGTATTATAAGCTTTCAGACCTGCAGTGTGTGGTGTGTGTTCAGACATGAGAGAGCGAGAGAGCGACAGCGAGAGCGAGAGCAGAACTATAGTCCATATATAACAAGTATTAACCAGGTGTGTAAAGATTCAGTAGAATTGGGTATCAGGCCCAGTGTTTATAATATAGCTATAGCAGATCGTTTGCCTCATGGGCTTCATTAATCAGTCTTTGTAAACTTGTGTAAATGTTTTTGCAGAACTAAAATTCCTGCTAGATTCACAAACATAGTTGTCAGATTTTCTTTGCATGTGTATGTTGATAAATGTCACTTTTTCTCATTCACTTAGACAGCCATAAAACACAATAAAAAGCAAAATGACAAAATGGTGAAAGAGCGCCTCCTAGGTGTAGCTTGCATTAAATCTTCCAGTAATGCACCTCAGCCACTGCAGCGCGTCAGATACCGACCTGCACTCTTCCTCCTGCATATAGCACCATTTCTTTTGTCCTGACTGAATGATTAGTCTGCTAGTAAACAGTCATATTTATTTTAATTTAGGAATTTGGTATGGATTGCTTCTTTTTTTTTTTAGGTCGTTAATGTGAAACGAACAAGTTTCACAAAATGTTCAAGTATGTGCATGCAACTGAAATAAACAAGTGTTTTCAACTTGACAGTGTAATCAGTAAACACATTGTAAAATTGTAGTAGCATGAATAATTTTAGTATTTACACAGCGGTTAGCTTAATGTTAGCTCGCTTCGGCTAATTTTAGTATTTACACACAGCGGTTAGCTTAACGTTAGCTCGCTTCGGCTAATTTTAGTATTTACACACAGCGGTTAGCTTAACGTTAGCTCGCTTCGGCTAATTTTAGTATTTACACACAGCGGTTAGCTTAACGTTAGCTCGCTTCGGCTAATTTTAGTATTTTTAACACACATTCTGCCAAAGCCCTCTTCAATTCACGTGCGTCGAACATGAGTACGGCTAAAAGGTCAAATTTACCAACAAACATCACTGTGAAAGACCATGCAAAACTATTTCTTGCACTTGCGATTTCGCCAATTCAAGTAATTTACCCAAAAAAGCACAGGAACCGCAGCAGTTGCATCGCAAATTTAGAAAAAAGCCACAGGAAAGTCAAGCATTTTTGGCCACAACAATCCCAAAAAACCTTGACACAAAAAAATAAAGATAAAGAGTAGATATAGTAACGAACTTGTGGTCTGTAGTAAGCATTCATGATTTCTAGAGCTGAGTGTGTATTGGGGTGGTGGCTTTGAAGAGAAGTACTGTATTTGTATGGATATTACGTTTCAAAACAGCTCATTTCAGCTAACGTCTGCCAAATGTCTACATTTGGAAAGATTGTTCCTGTTATTTTTGGGAATGCTATTAATGGCAAACGGAACTAGGTTTGGGAATACTATAACCGATTACGGTCATGCCAGTAAAGCTACTTTGAATTAAATCCAGAGGAGGGATTTATTTGAAATGCAATCTTGTCAGTGGTCCTGAAACGAGTTTATATTTCAATGATTTTGAGCACAATCCACACTCATTAGGATGTCAAATGGATTCATTGTGTGGCTTCGATTTATTTTAGAATCTAAATTATGCTCCTTTGTTTGGGTTTCTGATGCGAGTACAGCATGCCTCTCACGACAAAGACAGGTCGCTAAGGGCGAAATTTCCAGGGAGGGGAAGAAAAAAAAGACAGAGAGAGGGGCGTGAGAGAGGACGGCAAGGGGTATAAGCTCGAGATGATGTGAGAGAAATGGAGTTTATATAATGATAGAGCAGGAGAGATGGAGAGAAAAGCGATGAGGGATCAGAGGAGCTCTGTGCAGGAGAGACAGATAAGGAGACAGAGTGAGAAATGATCAAGTGAGCGAAATGGAAGAAAAAGAGCAGTGCTGAATTGAATCTCACATGGAGAGACGGGGGTAAGGGAGGGAGCGAGTGTGGCGAGCGAGGGAGTGAGTGTGAGGGAGAGTGAGGGAGCGAGTGAGTGTGGGTGTGACAGTAAGGAAGAAAGGGAAAGACAGAAAGAGAGAGAGAGAGAGCAGTTGAGTCAGATTTCATCTCCATCACTCACACTGTGCTGCTTGTCTGCCTGCTGAGACGGAGTGTGTCACCAAGACCAATTCATCACAACCACAAATGCAGAAACACACACACACACACACTCACTATCTCTCTCTCTTAATCTCTCTTTATCACTTCCTGTCTCACTCCTTGTTCTTCTTGTTCTTTACTTTCCTCCCTCTCTCTCTCTCTCTCTCTCTCTCACTTACCCCTCTTTTGTACATGTATATGAAGCATGTGTAAAATATGCACACTATAGTCATTGGCTAGTGACTTAACATGAGATGTTTTTGTATCTCTCTGTATCGTCAACTCCTAATCTCGGATAAAGTGATATCAGTGATGTCATCCGCTTGCCTTGGTGTCTATATTTATTGCTTTTTGTTTTAGCTAGCGGCTCATGCCTAAAGTATCGGACAGGACGGAGAACTAAATACACAGATTAGATAATAAAATACAACCGAGAGCCCAGAATAAAAATACACATGCCGGAAGTGACCAGAAGTGATAGATTTGTTCCCTGTTCTGTATTTGAGATTGAGTTAGTGAATTCGTTAGTGGTTCTGCACATCACTGACACAGATAGACTGGAACTAAGTCACAGAGGAGCACGCTGTGAGATTACGGCGGAGTCACATTGACTTTTTCCATTTTCAGAATGCTTCACTAATAGTGAGGAAACCTATGCAGATAATTATTTGCTCAGAGTTGTGAATGGCAGCCCAAATGACATAGTATTGCACTGCACATTATGGGCTTTAGGATGCAGCCTTGAAATCTGAATGTGTATTCATGTGTATTAATTATGAAAGAGCACAGCACAGCCCATGTTATGATATTCTTCCAAAAGTAGCTTGCAATAGCAATGTTTTTTTAACACAAAGTTGACATTTCCAGTGTGGAAGAATCCATTGTGGATTGGTTTGTGAGTGTCTTTTTTCTTTTTTTGTAATTTACCAACGTTATGAAGACTTAATGGATACGTGCTAGCTAGCTAACGAAAATGTTAAATTCAGTCATGAGTTCTGTATTTTCAAGCTAATTACAGAGCATTACTTCAGATCCATTTAACCATCCATTCGCATTCAAGTGACAAAGCAACAGTAGGTCACTATTTATTTCCTGTGTACAAGTCGACACAGAGCCGCAGCTTCAGTAAAAGAAACAGGCAACAAAGCGACAGCAATTTGACCTGAAATTTTTTCAGTTCTGTGCTAATTAGGTATGTAAAATATATAAAGTGCCAAATCCAAACAATCTACGCAAACGATTCCTCGGACCAAACTCATGGTACATGTATGCCAACGTATCTTCAGTTCCTCACTCACAACTTTAGTACCTACCTGCAGTTAGTTCCCATTTACTAACTCGCGCACCAAAATGGAAGAAAATCTTAATTGTGGTTTCATCTCATCTTATTCATGCAGCCTCTCATTAAATGCATATAGAGAAATGAGTAAAAATGAAGCTTAGAAGGAAGCTGTATTGATTGTTACTATTGGTAAGTGTAAGTAGCTTATATGTAGCTAGATTGCTAAAATTAAACTACTACTCTAGAGTAACACAGAGTAACTGCGCAAAGTTAGAAGACACACAGATACACTGTGCTGCAAAAACACGGCTAGTCCTGCTGAAAAAACAACCCCAGTAGAACTCCTCATAGAATTTGTAATGGTTATTAATGGGAATTGTATAGATTTTAATGGAAACTGTAATGGTCCCTGTCGGCCTCTACTGGTAATTTGTTGCCTTCTGGTGACATGTTATGTTCTGTCTAGTGGATACCACAAAGGGCCTACGTCCTTTATACGACCCATTACTAATGTAATGGAAACCATTTGGTAGTTTTAATGGTTTAACAGCCGGGATGATTTTTACACATTTGAACTTAGATGCTCTGATTAGCTGTGGTGCGACCTGCCAAAGCCGAAAGACTCAAGCCACTTTGGAATCGTCATTTTATACATGATGAAAATCAATCTCCTCAAAATGGCAGCGTGAACACGTGACCACGCAGCAGAACACGCAATGTAATTGAAACAGCAGCGTGATGATGGAAGGAAACTCTCCACAGTGGCACACTGGGGCATGTAAACAACCCACGTCTGTCTCGTTCAGAGAGCTGAAATTCAGCAGTGCTCTAAAGACAGTGTAGATTTCATCCTGACACTGGGAAGGC